AGGAGAAAAAGAAAAAAAAAAAAACTGTCCATCATAGAAACACCATCTAGATAAGCATTTCAAAATTTTGAGGCAATTAAGACTTTTGATTAGGCTGCTGGTTAGCTTGCAAGTAACATCCTCGATTATCCTTATTCTACAGTTAATGATTTGCACAGCAGTATCTGTATCCTTCATAATTGGGAATGTACTCTCATGGAGGGCTCTAGCGTTGACTGGTAAAATTTCTGACCGTGCCATTCTAAGTAAAAACATCAAGAAAAAGAACAACCGAGTTTTTTTTTTTTAATTTTTTTTTATTGAATGCTTGCAGGACTTATCCCTTGTGCCATTCTGACATTTGGTCTTATCTTCATTCCTGAATCTCCAAGATGGCTGGTAAGGAAAAGTAATTGAGTCGGGACAAACCATTGTTTTTGGATGTTCATATGATGCTAAACATGAATCAGGCAAAAGAGCGACGTCAAAAAGAATTTGAAACAGCCCTCGAAAAACTTCGTGGCAAGGATGTTGATGTGTCCCAAGAGGCAGCTGAGATCCAGGTTCTTCTCCTTCCTGCTTGTGTGATATATTTTCCGATACTTGAACTGCAAGTTACTTTTTCAGCATTACATTAATGCTCAACTTTCTCAACAGGACTATATAACAACGCTTGAACAACTCCCAAAACCCAAACTGACTGATTTGTTTCAGAGAATGTACTTGCGCTCAGTCATTGTAAGTTCTTCATTGAACTGATTGTAGACTTAGATTTACATGCTTAATCCCCTTGGTTTTTTAATTATTTCACCTGAAAAGTAGAAGAGAACCATATAGGTTAAAAATTGTGGACATTCACTGTCACTGCAATCCATAACCTCCGGTTTCTGAACTGTTCTGATCAGATTGGAGTTGGATTGATGGTCTGTCAACAATTTGGAGGAATTAATGGAATATGCTTTTATGTCGCCAATATCTTTGAGTCAGCAGGTACCGTAAGACAGAATTCTTATCTAACTGATGACATATATTTGTGAATAATTTTTCGAGAGGTTGAGGAACTGGAATGAACCCGTTGTATGTCTGGATTTTCATGACAAATCTCCAAATCTTTCAATGTTTGCAGGATTTTCGGTTAGCATTGGAACTATAACCTATGCTATTCTTCAGGTACTTCAGTCTTCATCAGATCATTTCCCGTGATATTGCCTTTCCAATTACAAACATGGTGCTTTTGACAGGTTATAGTAACAGGAATTAGTGCAGGTTTAATTGACAAGGCAGGAAGAAAGCCCTTGATACTGGTAAATTATAGTTTTGACTCAACAGAGAAGGAAAACTAAATACAAACAGCTGCTCAATTCCTTCTTTTTTACGTTTTTGCTTTTAGGTCTCTGCATCAGGGTTGGTCCTCGGTTGTATCCTATGTGCAGTTTCTTTTTATCTCAAGGTAACAGCACGTCTGGTACTTTCTGAAAGAGCTGCGCATTTGGTTCTCACAAATGTTTCTTAGTACACACCACACCACACATTTTTTCTTTCAAGTTTACCAGCCCGCCTCTAGAGATAACACCATAACCATTTTATCTCCGTACATGCATACTCTGTTATTTACTTCCATGTGTGTAGGTTTCAATATCATTTCACAAAATTATTCAAAGAAGAAACAAAAAGCCGACGGTTTAGATTACTTGAATTAGATTAGTAGTCAATAGTCAAAGATAGGGGATGGAGAATGATCAAAATGGTAAATATCATTGATGCATGGATGAACGGAAGAATAGTGTTCTGCCCTCCAGAATATTCTTCTGTAATTCTGAAGATTGTTGATAACAATGATATGTTTTGAGATTTATTTAAATTTGCACTTGCTGAAAACCAGGTGAATGAAGTGGCAATCCAGACAGTTCCAATGTTAACTGTAGCCGGGGTGTTGGTAAGTGCATCAGCTTTCTTCAAATCTCATTGTAGTATTGAAGTCCTTGTTTGCCTGACAACATTGATTGAAATTCAGGTGTACATAGGATCCTTTTCGATTGGAATGGGAGCTGTTCCTTGGGTTGTAATGTCTGAGGTAAGAGTTGATAAGTTTTGAAGTAAGAGTTGATAGTTCAACCAAAGACTTAGATTTGGTTATTTTGGTGCAGATATTCCCTATAAACATTAAAGGACTGGGTGGAAGCATGGCAACTCTAACCAACTGGTTTGGTGCTTGGGCTTGTTCCTATACTTTTAACTTCCTTATGGCCTGGAGCTCCTATGGTAATTATTTCACCAAAACCAACCATTTTAACTTTTTGGCTTTCGAAATAGAGTACTTGGATCAGATTATGTGTGTTGTGATGCAAAATATACGTTTTCGTTTTGAATAGAGATGGCAGTATCTGTTCAGTATATTTAAGCACTGGAAAGGGTTAGAGTTGGAGGTGTTGACTTTTCTTGAGTTTGTGAAATCCCCAGGTACCTTCATTATTTATGCAGCAATCAACGCATTGGCTATAGGGTTTGTGGTGATGGTAGTACCCGAGACGAAAGGGAGATCTCTGGAACAAATCCAAGCGGCCATTAATGGATAGTGATTTTATTTTAAACCAATTTTCCTTCTGGGTTGTATTCCACATGTTGGTCAGTTGTGATTAAATTATTATGGTATACTGAAGTTGCATGCTAATGGTTTAATAAATTAAGTAATGGGAAATTGGTTAAAGTTGTGATAAGAGGGATATATTCGTTATTTGTTACTAGAGAGTAGAGTAGAGTAGAGTAGAGTAGAGTAGAGGAGCAAATGACGAGTTTGATTGGTAATAGGAACAGGAAAATGGAAATACATAGAAAATCAAAGGGTCGAAGAAATTAATGAAAGAAGGTGCGTTGTGAATGTGATGGAGAAGAGTGGAAGTGAGGTTGAGGTTTGAGGAAATCGACCTTGACAATGTGATGGTCGGAGGTTCCTTGGGAGGAAATGACGGAGTAGGATCCTTGTACAAACTCGTATTCTGCTTCTGCGTCTGCGTTGGAAGACGCCAGTATGTAGTCCACTCGCGTTCCGTACTTGCAAGTCCCTTGAACACCTGCCCATACCAAAATTCAATTCTCTAAATCTAATCATCAGTTTAGTTTAGCTGAGTTCAGTTACTCACTTTGACCCTTGGCTATCATCACCACCGACTCGCATTCTCCACTGAACTCTTTCGCGTCCCTATATTGCATGCTGCTCTTCAGAAACTTCATCACTTCACCTTCCGGACTTGGCTTCCCTATCTCTTCGTAATACTGAAGATTCAACCCCAAAATAATATCCCAATTAATAACACATTGCATGTTGAATATATAACAAATAACAATAGTACCTTCACGATGTCCGTCCACCTCTGTTGAGAGTAATCGGTGGGATCCAGGGAATTGAGGCCTCCTAATAAGATGTGGGGGTGGGGATCCTTGTTGCTTGATCGGATTATGGATTTGATCTGTTTCATCCTCCAATTCTCGTCCAGATGATCTAAATGGGTACACTGCACATTCACCTCTCCTACTTGTGCCACATCAATCGTAGCTTTTAACACATTCCTGAAATCGGTGTGGTCGAAAATCTTGTCAACTTTCCAGCGTTTGATGGGCCACCTGGACAACACCGCATTTCCATACTCCGGCGCCCAGCTGTCTGCAAACACGTAGTTCATTCCCAAAGCATCCGCCAAATCCGAAAGCGGACTCATGCCTTTCTCCTCCTCCGCCTTCACATCCTGCAGCGCCAATATGTCAGCATCCAACTCTCTCAGCACCTCCAACGCCGTCCGACTGCATCTGTAACTTGAACAACAAGGGTTCTCCTTCTCCATTTCGTACTCACTAAAGCTCGCCTGTCGATTTCTGAGAAGAGATATCTCGTTATCCGGCAAGTTGATCGAAACCCGCTGCTTGGGTTTCGCCTTCGACTTGGACAGGCTCTGATCTCCGAATGGGGACTGTTTCAGAATGCTTTTCGGGCGATCGTTTCCGGATTTAGTCCGCAGATTGGAATCTAAATTCCGTTGGGAAGATTTTTGGGCGTATGGAACAGCAGGTGCCATGCAGAAGGAGGCAGCATTAAATGTTGCAATCCGTATCGGTCTCTGATCTCTGTGACCGTCAAATTGAGCATTGGAATTGGGATGAACCACCGACGACGACGACGACGACGACCCATTAACGATGGAGTTGGGCTCTGTTTTGGAGGTGGTTTTTCCAAACTTGTTGATGACATTGAAGACAACTCTAGGTCTGGTTCTGCGGCGAAGGGGACAGCGGAGACGGGAGCAGAGGCGGCGGAGGTTCCGGTTGAGGACTTCGAGCATTGTAGGTAGGAGAATGGGATATGACAAGTAGGAATAAGCGTGAAAGTTTTCAACTCAACTCTGGCTATAGCCTACAGCCCACCGGCCACCTGTATGGCGTTGGCTCTGGCACTGGCACTGGCCTCGGCCTGAGTGCAGGAATTAATATTGACAATACCAAGTTTAGTTTAGTCCAACTCTTGGAAACAGCTGAGAGAGAGAGAGAGAGAGAGAGAGACAGACACAGAGAGATACCTTCCAAGAAATGGATTGGTGACACTTGACAGTCAGTTAAGGGTTGACTTCTACTTTTCATTTTCTGTATTCTATTCTATAATATATATATATATATATATATATATATATAAAATAATAAGAGAACGCCAGCCAACTGCTCCAACTAGAGAAATCAAAATTCAAATGGCATCCTCTATTTGCTAAGCAAAATAATTTGGATAAACGACTCTTCTTTGGTTGCACAATTAAACTGCTAAATGTTTTTCTTTTTAACAATTAAACTTCAGAAGGTTTGTGTATTTGAGTGGCACGGGCACAGCACAGATGTATAAGTGTAACATATGCCTATTCCCGAAATAATTGAAATCTATCTGAAAAACATAAAATAATGGGGGAAAACTAAAGGACAAACACGACAACTTACAACAATGCAATCTCACATTGAAAGAAGACGAAGTCATGCATGCCTTTTCTGGAACGCCACGTCACTGGAAATCCGGCATATCCAAATCCAATGCATATGTGATGGTTTCTGGCCGAGATGGCGGTGGACCCCACATAATATTTTAGGTACTAAAATAAAAGAGGTGTTGGTCTGGCCTGCTGCTGCGACTGCAATAAACTATAAGAAAAGAAAAGGGAAGAGAGAGAATTAATTATTAAGGTTAGGTGAAGTTTAGAATTGTTTTATTGGTTGAGTTAGTAATTACAAATAGTATTGTGGGGTATTATACCTCTCTTGTATTGTTGTTCTTGTCTTGTTTCCCCACCTTAGCTTGCAATTGCATATTGCATATCTGGTTTTCATGTGGTAGGGTGCAGGCTTCAACCCCTACTGCTCTCCTACTTGGATACTGTAAAAGGATAAATGGTTTCACATCTCCCACACACTTGACACTACACTACCAACTTCCTACTCCTTCAATCCACTCATCCCTTTCCCCCATTCAACAATGTCTCATGTTGCTTCCATTCTTCATCATCATCATTCATCAAACATAACTTCCTCCTCATTGCTTTCCCATCTCCTTTCTAGTGTTTGCATATATAGTTTATCTATTCTTAATATCAAAATTTGATCATTCATATAATGATGCTCTTACAACTTTCAAAATTAACAACTAATAACATAGAATAAGAAAACCTATCTGCCAAAATTTAGGCTTCAGAACCCTTATCTCAACTGCTCCTCAAATGTCAAAAGGTTTATTAGATTACCAGAGGAAAGAAAAGCTTAAAATGCTTGAAAGAGTGTAGAAAAGAATGGCCAACGTATTTGTTTGTTACTCTATTTCCCTGGGTAGGAAATCAAACTTTTTTTTGTTAAGTACAACAAATTGGGGTATGGAAGTTTAAATCTCCGACTTAAATGAATATAACACACCTTGAAATTTAATGGTAAGTTTTATCAATGCACACGTGAAAATAACGGATTTAGTGAGCAATCAAAAACGAATAACTGGGAAGATCTAAGTTGATGGATCACCCAGGCTGTAATATTTTGAGAGAAAACAAATCAAGATGTTGAAAATGGAGCTCGAGAAAATAGTCTAGAGAAAAATCACCTAACTTGAACATAAATCTATCTTCAATCAAAAAGTCGTTGGTTCAAATCTCTATCTCACGTATTGTACTATCAAAAAAATCCAAACAAAAACCAAAATCTGCAAGGTCCACCCATTCAACTTCGGCAGATATATGGGCAATGCCTCCTTTAAACAAAAAAAGTGATCTTTGAGGGTTTTCTTTTGGCCACCCCACGGTTATAAGATACCATCAGCAAAAATAATACATCTCATTGAGTTATAGATGTTTCGTAAAGTTATAATCTGAACCAACAAAGTAATAACACTTAACCAAAAATAATAATAATAACAAAATAACGAAATAGTAACACGTCATGAAATCCTAAAAGTAATTCTTCTGTATTTATGGAACCGCGTACTGAGAAAAATTGGGGCAAATATTGCATTTTCTATAACGTTAACACCAACAGACATTGACATGGTGGTAATCTAAAATTCTATAAACCACATAGCTTAATAGTGAGCAATAATACCTCTAAACCAATTTCTCTGCAAACTAAATTTTTCGTAGCAATATTTTTCATGAAGAGTAGACACTCAAATTTACTCACAATTCTAAGAACCAAATCATCCCCTCTTCTTACTTGAGGTCCTCCGTTCAACCTCATTTTCTGCAACGAGAACGCAGAACTCTGAACCAAGCATTTCATGCACATCGATGTTCAGAGAAAGACTTAAATTAACTGTCTCCATAATAACTTCTACTGTAACTATGAAACCTAAGGTAGACAGTACCCGAACGGCATTTGCAGCCCTGCATATATTCCGCCGTGTCTCTAATGGGGTATATACTCTTTCCTGCTCTTCAAGGTTACCAAAATTTCCTTCTGACTTTGGACCCTTTTGTTCAAATTTATTAACTTGATCTTCTATCATCATATCCTCGGCGGGATCAACATGCTCCCCAATCCAGATAAACCCATTGCATCCAAGTATTAAGTCAATTCCGTACTGCTCTAAATGATGGAAGTGTTGCTTGCGTCTCTTCACTAGATATGGTGATACTGTGAGCAGCTGGCCTCTCTCAAGCTGAGTACAAAATACATTAACCGTATTGATTATGGAAAAAATATTTACGATGGTCACAGGAAATAAAATGAGATGATTTCAGAAGATTTGATGTCAGGAACATAGTAACCATTGAAACGAAGATATCATATTCAAATATAGGTAGCCTCCAAGACTTTGCAGAATTTATCATACTGGACAAATTAGGAAAACAGAACGATCATTTATTTCTTTTTTTTTTTACGAGACAGGAAAATAGAACAATCAAAAGTAGACATAATTTTCATGTCGATTCACACCTCTGGCAGTGGATCACTCTATGCCCCAAAAATCATTTTATTTAAATACTATCTTATACTTTTTTGTTGCTTCCTTCAACCCCTCTCCCTAGCTCCCATTAATATTGACTCAATGATTCCCAACCATAAGTCTTTGCACCTTAATCACAGGCACAGACCTCTCGTCTCCCTTTTTCCTGTGCAACTTTAGATTAATCTCCACAATTCGTTTTAACTGCTAGAATTTGCCCAAGGAGATTCTTCCATAAATTAGTACTCACGTGCTTCCACAAATATTTTGATGTTCTCTCTTTAAGAAACCAGTGAGAATGTGAGAGGCGTATGAATATCTATTTTTGAAGCTTATTTTGTATTTTACGTCAACATCCAGGAGATTAGAAGTTATCCATGAGACTCATTTTACCTTTCCATATTTCTGGCTTCTTGCTTGAAGGTGTAGACCATCATGCTGAAAACCACGAACTTCTGCCTGAGAAAAGTTACGCTGATGTTATCTTTTCTTAATGGTAAATAAGAATGTGAAACAATTATTGGTGAGAGCAGTGTTTGTTTACAGTGCAAGGTACACAGAAGTGCAAAAGTTTTTAAGCCTTTGTGGAATGTACAAGGCATGACTTGAATCTGAGAGAGGTGAGAAAAATAAGCAAAAATAGATATACTTTTTAAAAGTCTTAGGGACCAAAATGAACATTTTGAGAATATAAGAACTGAAACGAATCAACGTTGATAGTACGGAACCAAAATGAATGAATATTTTAAAAGTTTAAGGACTAAATTGAACTAAATCTAAAAGTACATGGACAAAAATAGTATTTTAAATTCATAAAAGTCTTAAATAAGGTTTTAACTTAATTAACTAATGTCATTATTTCAACACTTCATTAAACCACCATCAATTGGTGGGAAGATGGTAAGTTAAAAAGTTATGGGGTTTAAATCCCATAACAGCTGCTACTTAAAATATTAAAATCTTCAAATATCGTAGGATTAGGCAATTGTCAAAAAAATAATAATAATAATAATAATAACAAAGGTTCATTTTCCAAACATGTCAGAACATAGGAGAAAACCCACTATATGCATGGCACGTGAGAACATTAGTGGCACACCTTTCTGAGGTGAATGGAAGAATTATAAAACTTACACAAATAACATCATTTTCTTCAAAAATACTCCGCATGTTGAGTTCATCTACTGCAGTTCGCCGCCTCTAAGAATACATAAAAAAAATTCCAAACAAATAATCCAGCTTTAACACAAATTTAACCAATCTAAAAAAATCATTTTTATCAATAAATTCAATAAAATTTTCTACAATTCAGCAGAAGGCAAGGTGGTTCATCATTAGACGCAACTGTAGGCGCCATTATTATATACATTACAAAAAGAAGTTTGCCAATACCTGAATACCATCAGGCAAGTTCATTGAAGAAAGCATCAAAACTGCAGCTTGACTATAATTTATATCCAATCTCCAACGTTTTGGAGCAACCTGAATAAGACCACATCAGACGACAGAACAGAAATGAGATAAAACGCATCGTAATACATTTTCCTATTTACAACATCACAACCATGACTATTACAAAAAAATGGTCGACTTTAACAGCAGCAGCAACAAAAAAAAAGACTATAAAAACCATTATTCTGCATCAAGAATATAATGCTCCACTCCCGAATAAGTTTCTTTGTTTGCTTTCTCACAAAATTGCCATTACATTCATTTATGAAAATAATAAAAAGCATTTAGTTTTACCTCCATAACACGCCCTACCACAATATCACCAACCTCTGGTTTATATCTAATAACCAACATGGACAATTGCATTAGAAAATAGGTAATAATAATAAACCAAGGAAAGGGAGATATTAAACTATCATCATGATCAAAGAAAATCAAACTACAAAGCTTCATGGACAACCTGGCACGTAATGCACGTACATAGATGAGCTTATTGACTCGCTCAACCACTCCACAAACAGTGGCAACCACTTCACCATGCAGGTCAAAAGTCCCGTGTCCCCTGTATACAAATTTCAATTAAAGTTCGGTGCATCCATATCTCACACATAATTATTCAAACTGACATTTATACAATCCAAGTATCTCCAATATAAAGATAAAGATGTTGAGGAAATTATATACTTGAGGATGCCATCCTCATAATTGACAGGGATAGTATCAGCAACTATAACAGAAGCATCAGAATTGGCCTTCAAAGAGATCGACTCAAGTGATTCTAAGGCACTCTGGAGCCGAATTTTCTGAGTTTGATTCAAAGAAATCTGTAATCCTCTCATATCTGCATTCAGAAACTTTTTAAGTTAGAACATAGTGGTGCTACAGGGAGAGTAAAAGCCTAAACTTTACATGCTCGTGAACAAAATATTTACAAACGGACAAGAAAATAAAGAAGGCATTGTTTGGAAAGTGTTGGAAGGAGCTGGTCAAGAAAATCCATGCCTACAAGTAAACAGGTAGGACAAAGTGAAATGCAGGAAAAGGTGCTTTGAGAATATAGTATTACAAATATAAGGTGGGGATTCAAAGCTTCAACCAGTAGGAGAAATTTCTATTGTTTTAACCGTTAGCTACTACACTCAAATTGACAAACAAGAGAAACATGTTAAGCATGAAACTCATATTCCTAATTTTCCCTTCATTATTATTACGTGGCATAGCAATAAAATAAATAATATTCTCATGAGATATTACCAACTTCTAAATCGGTCACTATTGCCAAACCGAACATAGCTCAAATGGTTAAGGCACCTATCTCTTATCAAAAGGTGATGAGTTCGAACCCCACCCTTGCATATTGTATAAAAAAAAAATCGGTTACTATTTGCCAACTTCATATAAATTGTAAAGATAAAAATTATTGCTATCTTAAAAATAACAATACGAATAAGAATTCATTCGTAATAGTAGCGTCCAAAAGAAAAGTCTAAATCTCCATCGGAGAAGAACAACCGGGGAGTATCGACCTTCAAATCTTAACCGAATTAAACCAAATCGCAGACTACTATATACATACTTATACAGAAAGTTCGTTTATGTATTTAAGGAAATAAGGTGAAATTTCAGTATCATAAATCAAACCAGATAATATTACTGTCAAGAAAATCCCAAGAATGGTGTGCGAACATTGAACAAGGAAACCGGGGTGTGCACGGGTTGAGTCGAGTCGGGTCAAGTTAGTGTTTTTTGGACCAACTCGACGATTCTTCCACCCGATAGACCGAATGAGGGGGACAAGTTGTAGACCAAATGCAAGTTCACAATCAAACCAGGGCTAGAGACTAGAGAACATCATGACAGCAGCAAGATGTACCTCGTGTGGCTGGATTTGGTGGAGAGACGAGGAAGACTGCAACGTGGCGGGCTGCGGCGGTCGACGTAAAGGACTGGCGCTGCGGGCTGCGACGGACGACGGAATGGGATGACGGTGACAGGTGCGGCGGTCGGCGGAGCTGGAACGGGCTGCTGGTTTGCTAGAATGAGAGAGAGAAGAATGGGAGAGAGAAAGGGCTGGTGCCGTTGCCGTGCGTGTAGAATGAGAAAAGAAAAGAAAAATGAAGGACGAGACGGGTGGCTTGCTGAGAGAGTAAAAGGGGAAGCGAAACCCTAAATGTAAATGTTATATAAATTATTTTTATTTAATATATATGGTTCGGGTCGAACCGGTTTATCGATTCTAATAAAACGTATCGCAAACCGAAATTTTTTGTGAATTGAGTTAGGTTGTTCAGGACAGGTTGCCGGGTTTTTTTAACTCCTCTAACGAGGAAACCGGAACTTCAAATGAAAATGAAATAAGTTAAGGCGCCAACCAAGGCAAGCTTTTATTGTAAACGCAAAAAAAAACAGAATTAGGGCAAATGTTTTGTAATTATTTATTTTTGCTTGTGATTAGAGAAAATAAAGGATAATAAACTGGAAGTAGGTCCGGTAAAAAAAGTTATGGGCTGGACTTGTGAATTGTGAGAGGATTGAACTAACACTTGGGCCTCATTCTTCTCAATTTCTCAATTTTAGTGTTGGGATGTCCTATTTTTACACTCATTTGCTTGAAATGACACAATATAATATATGATCCTAAATGTGAAATGAGACTTGTTTAATTAAATGGTACGGTAACTGGAATAATTGAATCCACTGAATGAACCAGAATTACAGACGTGTAGTGTATGATCTATATGGGGCTTGTATCACAACCGTCAATCAATAACCACAATTAATGAGCAAAGCAGTAAAATTGAAACCCAGAAAGCAGAAGGGGAAAAAGAGCAGAATGCAATGTAATGTAATGCATAAAAGCAGAGCAACAGCAGTAGGCAGTGGCAGAGGAGCGTTATTTGATTGAGGTTGAGGAGGTAGCCCTGAGGTTATTGTTAGCACGTGCACGACTGATATAATCTGAAAAGCGCCGATCGTCTTTGGCGTTGTTGTCTTTTCCCTTGTAACCCGAATCGTGTCGCTTGATTGATATGCTCCCGAGCCTACGTTTTGCCCGACTGATGTAATCACTGAACACATCGTTTACGTCTTTTTCTCCTGATTTTTTGCCTTCACCTCCCACTCCCACTCCCACTCCTCGATCACCATCACCGTCACCAACTTTGCCCTCTTCGGGAGCCACCCCCAGCACCTTGTTATCCTCCGGCTGCCGGTTTGAGAGAGGACGGAATTTTATCAAATTAGGATACCCGCCAAGAATCTTGCGAAGTTTCTCGCACACGGGATTGCGCTTCGGGGATTTTGAGTTCCTTCCCATTCGGTAATATATGTTTTGATGGTCTAGTGTATAAGGTGCTGTGGGTGTTGGGAAATAATTAAAGACTACAGCTGGTATTTATATTGTAGGTGGTGAAGGTGATTGGCGAATGATCACAAAGTGAGAATGGAACCAGTGAACAGTAGAAGAGGATGAGATTGATTGATTATTAAACGATACCACAAGCACAAGGATGCTTCATGGATCCTATCCTGCCCTGCATAAATGATAAGAGTTTAAGAAGTCTAAAAGGGGGTGCTTTTGTGAGTGTTTTCCAATTGATATGACACTTAAGAGGAGAACCATATTCCAACTTATGGTTTCTGCCCAATTTTCTTCGTAGACAGCAGAATTATAACTACATAATAGCTGTTTTCAAAGCATCCAACAGAGTATTGATTCGGTAGAAATTTGAAAAGGGTGGAGGGAAGAATCTTCCATCCTGTTAGCTAAGAAACCGCGCCACCCTTTCCATTCCATAATTACTGAAAGAGATGGAAGAAGGAATCGCCTTTTTGCAGTCAGCATCCAATTGCGCCTCTTCCTTCTCCCGCTTCATAAGAAAATAACACATATTCTCCTGCTATGAATAGTTTGTCCCTTTTGCTGCAAAGCAAACTAAAAAAGGCGAATCAAAGTTGCAATGATTTTTACAACACTCTACCAACTATGTACTGTCAGTAATATGATGCAATTCCATGTATTCTGCAGAGTTCATGGAATGATGAGAACAAGTCTGTTCACTTGGGTCCACTATACAACACTTTAGTATTACTTATTTCAGTGTCACGTCAATGTCTTTTTATTCAAAATATTTCATCAATTAATTTTACTCGGGTTAGTCACTTTTTGCCGATTTCAATTTATTTCAACAAGTCAACTAATTGTTTTTTCTTACTTAGTATCGTTGTTTGTTGATATTTTTGTTACATTAATTGAAAACTTCTTTTTTTTTTCAGTAAAATGAGAAACAAATAAAGAGGAAACTTCAAGAAACAGATCGATTTCTTCAAAGTATAGGGAATACAGAATGTGAACAAAAAAACGTAGACCGAAAACAGTTCATTATAATGAAATATTTTGAAGTTATTTCATAAAAGGAAAGGATTTTAGAAGCACACGCCATATATTATAAACACGGCCAACTGCCAAGTTCTCAAGAACAAAATTGCATAATGACTACTTCTCCACTCTGTTTCAAATATTTGACAGTGTAACCCCCCAATCTAAACCATTTGGACAGCTGATACGATAGGAGAATTAGTCTGGACTCTCAAGTGGGCTGTTCAAATCGACCAAAGCAAATGAGCTCAATGCCCAGAGATCGGTTTGAAATTACCATTTTCTGAATTCAAGTGATCTTTTCTTCACTTATGGCAACACACTCATGGCTAAGCATATCTACACTTCGATAAGCTAGGATGATACTGGAGGATTAAGTCACTTGGGTGAGGCTAACCAATTCTCAAGATTGCTACCGTCATTAAAGTTGCCGCTCTGAAGAAAATATCATTTATGCTCTTATCTACTCTCCTCATCATCTCATCTTCCTTCAAGGCAACCTTGCCCGACTTCTTCCTGATATAGATTATTGTATCCCTCAGTTTATTCACAGCACAAGATAACCAAACCAGGCCGAGACCAAATCCAGTGTTCAATAGTTTAGAAGAACAGAATGGCACTCTCCCGCACGTAACCTTAAACATGACTGAGAAAAGAACAGCAAGACCAGTCCCAGCAATACCAGCAGAGAACTGAGTAAGAAGCTCACGCCCTGAATTCTTAAGTGAACGTATTGCCCTTCTCCCATGCCGCTGCTTGTTAAACATAAAGGACAGGAAACTCTCACATGCGTGGAAATAATTTTTTTTTTGTATAAATCTCTCTCGTGGCCTATTTTCTTACTGTTTCTCCTTTTTGGTGACGGCTTGACCTTAATTGTATCAGGGCTGTCAAGAATATAACATGAGTAATGTAAGTCTAAAAGCAAAAGCCATGAGCAAAATAAATGACTGAAAGATGAACTTATGATAGTACTGTCTCAAATAGTCATTAGGTCGTTTTTATTCTAGGATATTCGGACTACTCTGCCCATGAAACATGAGGGTGGCAAATGAAGTTTTTCGCAAATCTATTTGGCCAATGAGATAAGAATACCACTCTAAAACTTGCATATTTATTCAATAGAAAATTATTAGGCGGTTGGTTCCCATCTATTTTCTACTTCAAATAGAGCTAAATCACCAAGAAAAATATTCAATGGAAAATAAACTCCTAGCTCTATTAGGTCATCGGTTCCCATATATTTTCTATACTTTTGTAGTCTAGTCTCACTATTGTCAAAACATCTCCAGTTGAAAACAAAATGCGGAAGAACATGCAACTAAAACTTCATTGCAGCGAAGTCAAGTAGTTGCTGCTTGACAACAGTCAAGTGAAAAGAATCAGACTTGTATGACTAGGCATGCTGCACATACCTCTTTATAGGAGCAATGGTTGTTGCATGAAGCTTGACGGATAAACCATGAACATCAGGGCTTCCTACTCCACCACCATACAACCTGGACACAGAGGATTCCAAGGATTACAATCTTTTTATCCAAAATATTTTATCATGATCAAGTAAAAACCTATTTCTCGCATCCTGACCAGATATACCAAGAACTTTTTTTTCAAATATGAGTGTTTGGGCCACTTGCTTGCATCTCGAATATTATCATAATACAACTATCAAATCCTATTATATTTGGCTGTGAAGTTAACCAGTAGGATATTAAATTCTATGTAGATGATCATCATGGTTTGAACTCATTCTCTTTTTTTGAGAATGGAATTTATTGAAGCTTAAAATGGGCCAACTAAAACCCGATCATTACAAGAGTCCCTTCCGGATTCATTTAATATCCAGATGGGAAAATTAGAAAACCAAACGCCGGCAACCTCACCCACAAACGCCTTCGTCGCTAGCTGATGAGCCACCCGATTTCCTTCCCTCCTCACATGCAGAAAGCAAATTTGAGAGAAATTGGAAGCAAGATGACGAATATCGTCAACCAAAGTACCTGCTTCTAGCCAACAATCACTATTTCCAGACATTAGCTCAATTGCTTGTAAGCAATCCGATTCTATCCGCACCAAACTGAAATTCATTTGAAAAGCAAGATAAAGACCTTCCCGAATGGCTGAAAGTTCCGCTACTTTCAAGGTGCTGAAATTCATTTGAAATTCGTTTCAAGGTGCGCATCGAAAGTTTTGGCCAAAGCTGCAAGAACTTTTTCCCCAGAATTTCGACCAATCACTCCAAAGTTTTAACTCATTCTCTCTAAACCTTTATCAAGCCCTTATTGACCACTAGTTCAATTCATGATGGTTTTATACCAAAAACTTCTTTTGATCCATGATTATCATTTTTTTAACAGGTTCTCATAAAAATTATTCAAAATTTGAATTTTAATGCAAAAAATTTCTTTTACTGACGAAAAGTTGCCAATTGTTGGAAAGAAAAAAATATTATGAGTTTCATTTGTCTAACATGCCTTACAATTGGATGGTATAAAAATTAAGAACATCAATTAGGGAAAGAACAACTTAGGCACAAAGTTTAATCGTACAAAAAATATAACATCAATTAAAAGTGTGTTTGACATAGGCATAGCTTCCTATGTGGTTTGAAATGACTAAAAGTGTTTTCATTTTCAAATAACTGTAATATTTGGTAATGAACAAAATTCAATTTTTAAAAAATTATATCGATTTAGAAACAAGTAACGCTCCAAAATTAATGCTCCAAAAAATGGTTTTAAAATAATTAACCGAAAATCACTTTCACTATGGTGATTTGACACTTGTATAATCCCGTTTAAATATAGTGTAGCTAAACAAACTTGTGATTAAAAATAATTAAAGAAAATGTAACCAAACACATGTGTGTTTTAATTATAACTAAAAATGAAAAAGTATCTTTCAAAAAGTAAAGTAGGCCAAACTTACCCGACATCTTCAACAAAATGTCAACCATATATTTTAGAATCTTAGAACAGTGAAGCCGTCTTATAACTTTCGATAGACGAAATAATAAATGGTACAGTATAGAAATGTGCATGTGTGAGAGAGGATAATTACCCACCCCCCAACACAAGCAGGTAAAACGAAATATTGTTTGTGCAATTACATACGTGGAATACTGCCAACTTACCTACTATCAGAAAATAAAAGAAAATCACAAACTTTTTTTTGCAATTATATATGTGCGAGAAAAAAAATTCATTGATGATAATATAGGCAAAGAAATGTGTACCTTTCATGGTTTGGAACAAGAATTGACTGCTTTCTCCAACTTAATGAGTTCTTCGACAAATAAAACTCAGCAACAACTGAAATTAAATCCTTGATCTCTGTCCCAGTCTCAGTGAACAGCACTTGTCCATCAGGATGAATCGTAATCTTTGAGCTTCTAACCAATTCACCAATGAAGTCTATGACTGGCTCCTGTGCATCAAACTCACAGCTAGGAAAGATAAGAGAAGAAGCAAAGGGCCCTTGGCACCGCTGGGTCTTTAATTCTTGCAACCCCCTTAAGTCTGGTAAATCTAATGCACGTTTATTCTCTTCGCTTGGAAAGGAGACAAGGAACTCCAAGACTTTCTTGTACCTTTTAAATTTTTCATCACATTCAGAACTGAATATCAAATAGTCACCACGATTATCTGCAACCAAATCAAAGGGGTAGCTGGGTCAGAGAAACCAGTTTGCCAATTTCCACAAATGAGATGCACTCTCCAATTAAGACTCGGCTATGAAAGGCATAAACAGACATTACTGTCTGGTCTAATCTTCAAATTATAAAAAGACCACTCATGCGTGTAATACTAATACAACTTTTGCCATTTTAGAGTAGTGTTTCCTTCAAAAGTAACAATTCGCGAGAGAAGTAAAATGGATCACGATGAAGTTTAATAATTTGTTTCCTGCTCTTGTTTGTAGACAAACCTTGATAGGAAAGATAATAGAAAAAAAAATTCCTGAAAATGATGCCAAAACTCGCTAAACAATTAACCTTGTGCATCGACCATTTCCAGACTTCTAACTTTTGCGTCAAACTGGACAAATTGTTTGGACTCTGACAACCCAATAATGGATTTCCATGGCTCGTCGCTCTGTTGAAGCTGAATATTTCGAAATCCTGACCCGATCATAACTTCTCGCCTAGCTCCACATGTTGACAAAAAAGGCTGACAATCCTGATTAATTACAGAAGTAAAGGAGTTTAAACTCCAAAACAAGTCAAGGATCATTCTCGAGATAGTAATGTCTTAAGACCAGGACAAAATGGTGTAAGCATGATAGCTGAAATGTGAAGAGACAAAGAGGAACGGCTGACCATATAAAGATGTTCCAAGCCAATAATGATCAGAACACATGAACAATTTTTAGCGTAATCAATCAATATAGAAACAGACCAAGAGTGCGGAGATTATATTCAATTAATCCAGGGTTAGTTTGAGAGTGGACTTAGATCCCAAAAACATAGTTCATAAGCTTCAAAATTCGCAAATGAAGAGCTTATAGGGTACCTTGATTGCCCTGGAGAGGTTTTGGTGGTGGTGGTGTATAACAAGAGCCGAAGGGTAGCCAAGGCCATGGGCAGCCATGAGACAAAGCTGGAACATGTCGGAGAGAAACCCAAGAATTCCGTAAAACGAAACCTCTCTCCGTTCTGTGCGTTCGTCAAACCACCATAGACTCACCCATCAGCGGACCTCTGAATCCCAGTCACAACATGGGGCTGGTAATTGGTATTAGAATAATCCAAACAAGAAAAAGAGATAGAGAGGGATGGAGTGGGTTTTGTGTGTGATGGTCCAGAATTTTTCTGATTTTCAATATCAGCGACACGAATCGAGGAATAGGAACCCAAGCCAGGCTGGACGTCTCATAAAGTATAAACGACAACAAATATCTTATTGCCCTTCGGTGCACTTGCACCTTGCACCGCCGTCCGTGGAACTCGAGGACGAGGGCCCCTCGCATTTCCAATTCCTGCCCTACATACAGATGGGATCACCTGCTCCATGTTTGCTGCTTTGCTACTGCTGGCAAAGGGATCTGGCGTTTGTCTCAAATCAACGGCTGCGATTGTTGCATCAAATATTATTTGATTTTTCTTAGTCGATCCTGCAAATCCACGTCGAGAATTACCTCCAAACAACCTTTGCAAAAAAAATTTACCTCCAAACAAATGCTACACGTAATAAAAAACGTTGCAAACGTAAGTGTGCGTTTGTTTGGCAATTTAAAACGTTGCGGTCGTAAAAAAATGGTGAGATCTGATAATCCAATCTCAATTTAAAACATTGTTCTGAATAGTTATAAACTAAATTTTAGTTTAATCTAAATTTATATTCATTAATTTATTAACATTTTTTGAATCAATTTTGTATAATTATTATTTTACAATATTATATAATTTATAATTTAGAATGCATGTTTCAATTTTAACGATCATAAAATGAATTTATAACATTAATTAATATATGAATTTATAACATTAATTAATATATTTTATCAATTTTTTTTATCTAATTCTGCTGCTTACAGATTTTCAAATTCTGAAGCATAAAAAAGTCGTTTTCATAATTTCTACCGTTTTGATCAACGAATATAAAAAATTATGCCAAACGGCTCTTCGCTGAACCAATTTGATGGAGTGAATCTGAAAACCAAAAACACAATCCGAGTTTCCAAACAAACGAGCCTTGATATTTAGTTAATCCTCAATTTGCCCTCGATTTTACCTTTAATTATTATAATTTATCAAAAGCTCGAAAAAAAATTATTATAAGGTTAATTGTAGTGGGTAGTAAAAATATTTTATGTATTTCAAAAAATGTTACAGGTGTTTCAATTTTCAAAAATATTAAAATATTTGAATTTTTATTATTTCAATTTTACCCTTATGATATTTGATATATATATGATGTGTATCCATGTATGATATACATCTAATTTATATCTAATATACATCTGATGTATACCTATAATCGATATACGTCTGATCTATATTTGATATACATCCGATGTATACTTGTATCTGATATACATCTAGTATATATACGACGTACATCGGATGTACTTATGATATACTTCTTATATAAATCTGATGTACCCCATATACATCTAATTTACTCCTAAATCTGGTCAATGCTATGGTATTCATCCAAATAGTTTAAACATGTATTCAAGCTAAACTCCTTAAATTCAAATCTTACAAAGTTCCCATTGATATTGAATATCAGTGCATCTCGTGGGCTCTTTTAAAATATTCGGCGAATTAGATGCACTAATAACTGTATTATGCATCTCCTAATATTAAATGACAAGAAGTGTCAAAATTGTCATCTTCTAAATATTTCTATTTGGGTTAGTGTTAGCATCTTTATAATGTTATCTATTGATTATAATTTTGAATATTGTTGCACTTTTGCACCATAAATACCATATTTCATTCATCTGTTGAAGTAAAATCAACAATATATCATATGTAAATTATACTATCACATCAACGATATATCAAACACTCGTATTAATAGTATATCAAATAGTTATTTAAGTAGTATATCAAGCACTCATATCAATAGTATATTTGGCGTATATGAGACTATGACACCAGTAGTATGTCATACGCTTTTATCAGTAGTATATCAAACACAGATATCAGCAATATATCATACGCTCGTGTAAATAGTATATCAGATATACATATCAGTAATATATCACATACTCATATAAATAGTATATCACATATATAACAAACATACATATTGATATGAAATACTCATATCACGTGTATATAATAAGATAATCACATTAGTAGCATATCAAACATTGATATCAACAGTATATTAGGCGCTCATAAAACTAGCACATCAGTATTATATTAAACACTAATATCAGTAGTATATCATACGCTCATATAAATAGTATATCACGTGTATATCAGATATACATATTAGTAATATATCGCACACTCATATTGGTAGTATAACATTTATATCAGCATACATATTGATGTAAAACATATACGAGACTATGACATTAGTAGTATATCTGACATTCATATCCACACGAAGAATTTTATGGGCTTCGATGTGTGTCCCAAGAATCGAACATGAGATGGAAAAGATATTAAAATAGCAATACACCCACCACACTACTGAAAAGTTTTTTATATTAAAACTACTAAATAATATAGAATATAAAACATTATATTTTTTTTTTTCAGAAATGAACCAACCGAATAGTCGTCCCTTCAATAGATGATCACGTTCAAATTTTAAGAAAAATTTCAGACACCACGTCTAAATGGTCGAGACGACCATGTGGGATGGTCGGAGACCAACCTTAAGTTTTTTAAAAGTACAATATTTTTAAAATAAATTTCAAAATCTGCCATATTTTTAATTGAACAACTGTATTTTAAAAATAAGTTTCATTCTTGCCATACCATGGTTGATTTACTTAAAACAGAGAAAAAAAAGGAGGAAAAAACCCCTATTGGTTTGGTGATCCATAATAATATCGTTTTCCCTTCTGGTTGGTTGGATTGATTGTGGAGCGCAGAGTTACTGAAGGCAGGCACCTCAAATCTTTAGCGAAAATGGTAATTACTCCTCCATTCAACTGCTTGCTTCCGTCGTCCAAGGGTTTCGTTATTGTTACTCGTACTTCAGTGTTCAAGCTGTTGGCTCTTTTTTTTGTTATTATTTCTCCTTCCCTCGGGATTTTTCTTTTTCCGTCGAATCTCATATACTTCACGGTTTCTAAAATCTTTGGTTTATATGCGTTTGAAATTTGGTTGGGTTTTGTTTGTCAGTTGTTTTTCTCGTACTTCAAGGATTTGGTGGGCAGAGAGGTGACGGTCGAGTTGAAGAACGACCTAGCAATTAGAGGAACTTTGCACTCTGTCGATCAGTATCTCAACATCAAACTTGAAAACACGAGGGTTGTTGATCAAGACAAATACCCTCATATGGTACATAACTTCTTTACATATATTATATTTAAGCGATATAATTGATTGCTTATTTTATGGGCTCACGCACTCTGATGAGACCTGTGCTTCAGACGAGGGTTACTTCGAATTTGTTTTTATTTGTTTAGCATTTATGGTAGGCACATTCCTCCTCCTCATTCTGCTTATTTTGTATTCCACTTACCCTTTTATGCTCTCTTGATTATATTAATTGAAAGATTTTCTGGCGAGATGTATGATATATGCTTATATTCACAGATTATTTGTAGCACAGTTTGGTATCTTCATCTTAACATTCATTTTCTTTTCATCCATTGCTCTTTCATGAATTTTCTTTAGCTAAATATTTCTAGTAATTTTGTGGGTGGTTCTCAATTCGGTGGATTTCTCTCTTGTCACTTGGCTAGAGTTCCTAGCGGGGACCATCCGTTTCTTTCTTGCTGATTTTGAAGGGGGAGAGTAACAGGGGTTTATTATATTTAGTGCGAGTCTTCTTTATGTTTTTCTATTCCGTTTCTTTTTGGATCTCCACGTCCTGTTCTGGCAACTTATGCTGACATTTCGCCCCCTCTTCTTCTCGTAAACTAAATATTTGATGCAAGTTAAATTTATCAGTGTGATAAATTTGACTATGGTCAACACAGCACTTATATATATATATATATATATATATATATATATATATATATATATATATATATATATATATATATATATATATATATATATAGTACATAAATGTGGAGATTGGAGCTCAAAACTTCAACGGAAGGGAACGTAATAGGTGGCTTATCTACGTAGCTATAGTTGGATTAACTATGAATCCATTATATTTTTATGTCAATTTCAGTATTCTTACAGATTATACACATTGATTGGAATCAATGAATGTGAATTGTTTAAGAGAGAAGTCGGAAATATTTATGAATGTAGAGGGTTTCCTGGTTGAGCTTAATTTGATTTTCTAATCCCACTAGGAAGCTAAAAGACTAGTTCTTATTGACTATCAGGTGCATGTTGTATCTAGTTCATGATTTTTTTCCCCAACTACTCAACTTAACAAACTTTTATGATGTAGGAGATTAGAAGGAACTTTTTTGGTATTAATTGTTGTTTTTTAGCTACAATTTATTAATTATTTTTAGTCGGAGATTGACCTGTTTGCCAAGTAGTTTTGTAGATTAATTGCTTTTAGTTAGTTAGTTAGTTATTTTTTCGGTTAGTTGGCTACTACCCTACCTGTATAATAAAGGGATGATCTTTTGTATCTTCAACACTTTTTGAATGGGATAGAATTTTTTGTTTCCGAGTCTAAATGTCGATTGGGGGAGAACTCTCATTTAATATTCATGCAAATATCTGAAGAGGCCAAGAAATGGTGGTGCTTATAGAGCTGGACCATCTTCAGAAAAATCAGACCAAAAACACTCGTTTTGTATCAAGAAAGTAGTTTTATAGATCGTGTAACTAAACACATAGCCTAAGTGCTGTGGTGTGTTTATTATTATTATTTTATCTTACCAAATCTTAGTTTAACACAACTTGTTACAAAGGTACCATCTTCATTCTTCAGCCTCTGTTCAATATCTGGCGGTGATTTCTGATAGATTCCAAATCCTTCTGTGGCTTCCTGTGAGTCGTAAGGCCACAGTTTTTAAGAAAGTAAAATTTCGAAACCAATCATGGTTGTGCTGTATAAACTTTGGTTTAAAAGATGTCGTAGGATGGGTATGGGATATATAAGAATGAGTTTGAAGTGTATGAACAGGAACTTTTTCCCAGTCTCTAGTTCTTGTTCTTTGTGGAATGAGTTTTTTTTTTTTGTTCTTCTTTCTTGATACAAGCCAACATGAAATTTCCCTTCGACACATATAAAAAATCTGAATGTAGGTAGTAGGAAGACTTACTGTTGTTGCTTGTTGGTTGCTGATTCTTTTATGGTTGGTGAATACTCTTGTTTTTGCTTGACCAAAAACATATGCAAATCTCATATATATATAAAAGAAGAAGGAAGAAAGAAAAAAGAACATCTGCAAATCCATTATTTCATTATGTTCTGCCCTGCGGTCTTAAATTTACTGTGCCCGTATCCATCATGTAATCTGCTGCCTGTAATTTTGTTGTCTTGAACTAATCGTGAATTTTTTTTTTCTCATTTCAGCTTTCAGTGAGAAACTGTTTTATCAGGGGATCGGTGGTGAGATATGTTCAACTTCCGCCAGATGGTGTTGATATTGAGCTCTTGCATGATGCTACAAGACGCGAGGCTCGGGGTGGCTAATGTCAGTTAGCCTGAAAGCTTGTTTGGAATTGCATGAAAATTGATGTGCACCTTTCAGTATACAATGCGAGACAATTAGAAGTTTGTACTTCGTATTTGCCGCACTTCTCTGTTCAAGTATTCTGGCGGAAAGAACCCAATGACATTCTGATTAGCAGGTGAAAGTTGAGTTGAGGTCTCCCATTGACAAAAATGTTATTTTAGTCGTGAATCCCATATAAATATTTTATTTTTGGAGAAAAAATTGATGTATAATTAATTTCACAAGCAAGTAGATGTTTTAGAGCGACGTATACGACCATGAGTTCGGATCTCCATACCTACATCTTGTACTAAAAATATAAATATATATATCATTGTCGTACAATTAAATAAAAGGAGAAGAAAAGAACCATTAAATAAGGGGAGAAGAAAAGAAAAGAAAAAAAAGAACAAGATTACGATAAAAGGAAAACTCAAATTTGTAGTCAATTGTTGATGCTATTTTAGTGATTTCACATGCTTGATATAGAGCACGCAACCAAATTTGAAACTATAAAATACCAAGAGGAGAAGAATTTCATATATATTATTTTTCATTTAAACAAATTTCATTTCAAGCATGTGAAAATTGGTTAAAGTCCAGCCCATTTAGCTTCAACCATCAGCATGTCTTTTCTTTCGTTTCCAGTGCCCGCGGTTCGATTTGATACATGACGGTTGGGACCGATTTTATGTTATCTTGTAATTTGATCGGTTCGGTTTGGAGCCGAACCGAATCGCCAAGACCCCTACCCCCGGCCGTCGTCTCAAGTCTCAAAACACCCAACTTCCTTCCTTTTCCAGAGGAGAGAAACAGGTGCTACTGCTAACACTTTTTATGGACTCCGATCGAGACCCTCTCAACCCCCCAACCACGAGGTCGCATTTCTCGCTCTTACTCAGTTTTTTATTTTTTGGTTTCAAACATGCTTTCCTCGTTCCTGCTTACTTGGGTTTTATATTATCGGAGCGACGAGAACGTAAAACAGCATATCTGCTGTCCCTCCTTGCTTTTCGGTCTTCATCGTCTATAAATTGCTTACAAAATGTGATTCTTAGGGGAACTTAAGAGAATCAATGTTGTTCTGTTCATGGTTTCTTCCAGTTGCGCATGACTTCATCCTCTTTGTATCTGAGGAACATGATTTTTTCGTCAACCTCAGCATAACCTTTTGGGTTTCAAAGAGGTTTTCGGCCTTCAAGGTTATCTATGGAATGACCATACTGACCGTCAGTTTTTTTATTATAAATTTATTACATTGGCTGAGCTTAAAAGTAAGTGATCGGCCCCTACGGTTTACTTCGGCTTCGTTCCTAGGATGGTCAATTTTAGGGAGCCGGATATTGAGAAGAGTTAGCTAAACAGCTGATCGAAGGTAGAAAGCCTGACTCAAGATGGTAGGCTTTCTGAAATTTACTTCCGTATTTTTGTTTTTTTCCTACCTACTATCTCTTTCCGTCTCCCGTCATAGAATGGCTAAATGGTTTCAAGTTTATCAGAAGAATTGCAAGGCTTGTCTCCTTTCTAAAGGATGCTCTTTATCTCTAAACCTTTCAAATTTTGATTGTGAATAAACATCTACAATAGATAATACGAAGTTCTATCCACTTCCTATCTTGTTAAGGAAATGAGAATTAGAGGTTGCAGGGTCAACTACAAACAAGCCAAAGGAAAAGAAAACAGAAGAAGTATACATTGATCAAGCACGCCTAGCATTAGATTCAAGCAACTTTTGTTGGTAAAAGATAGATTTTGTACCTTTTCCCAGATGCCATTCTTGACAAGAGAAGTTTCATGGCTCTTTTGAGATGCTGGATCTTTTTGTTGCATATCTAATGCCAACTTTTCTATAATTTTTAGTGGTAAAAGTTTATAGGTAAAATTCAAGCCTCTAAGGGCCTGTTTGTTTCGAGGGTCTTCTTGCTATGCAATTTGTTATAGATATTTAATACCCATATTTATTTTGTAGATTTTAACTTTGCCATGAATTTTGTTATAAACATTCAATACCCAAATTTACAGTTTTTATTTTTTATTTTTTATTATCATGTGTTGGGGTTTCATTTTGATTTTTGAATGGGTTTGGTTTGGCCTTCTGTTTTCAAGAGAGCGTTGATTTTTGGCTTTCAGAGAGTCTAGGAGAAACCTTATTAGAGGGGAAGGCTAGAATTTTTTGGAGTCGTGCGGTTTGTAGTACCCTTTGGTTCATTTGGATGGAGCGTAACAAATGGATTTTTGGGGATAAGACCTAGATGATTTTTGTAATCTTATGTAACATACAACTTCTTGGTTCTGCTTTTGTAATTATGAGAGAAACTTTAGGAATTAGTAATTTCTATATGTTTTCCGGCACTAAATGTTGTGAGGTCAAGCGGTTGCCTCGTGAGATTAGTCAAGGTGTGTGTAACTTGACCCGGACACTCATGGATATTAAAAAAATTATGAGGGGAACTTTATTGATGAAAAATAATATGATTTTACAAAAGAAAAATAATTTGATTTTACAACTTAAACACTACTATTTTATTCATTTATTTTTATTTTTTTAGATAAGAAACGAACTTTTATTGATAGATAAAAAAGGAAGAAAAATGTTCAAGGATACAAATTCCAAAAGGGAGCGAAAAAAAGACTAAACAGTCAAATAAAGAACAAATCTCCAAAAATTACAAGAGAATAAAACATTGAAGAACAAAATGCTAATATCTTAACAAAACGATGAGATGAAAGTACAACCAAAACCACTTCCTTCAATTTGCCAAGGCTACACCAATATATTGAATAGGAGAAAAGCACATCCAAAAGCCTTTGATGGGAGCACCAATTGGAGAATGCCCAAACAATTGAAATAACCCATAAATAATATAATAACGACATTTTGCAATGCACAACTTTTGCAAGGAGAACCAACGGTGTCCATAATCCAGTACCCAATGCTACCAGTATTCCCCCTACAAGTTGCCAAAATATGAAGAACCCAATGTGCATAGTTATGGAATCAAAAAATTCAACATGCAGAGGGAAAAACTTGAACACTGCTATTTATATTAGTATTGCAGCTAACAGAAGCCGAACTAACTAATAACCAACTAACGGCTAAGTATTATCAAGCCACCAACGGCTATATTCCAACTACTAGCCTTCAACGGCTAGTTTTACAATTTTAGGGGGTTTGACTATAAACCCTAAAGTCAGGTGGTGGTTCCCTCAGTTGGGCTTTTGTTTGTTTTGGTTGCCTCGTTTTTATTCTTTCAATTTTTTCTATAAAAGTTGGTTTTCCTATAAAAGAAAAACCCTTACAGTATGTAATGTTGTTGACTGCCATACTTAATGACCTTTTACTGTTGTTTTAGCTAAATTGAATTTAATTGGCTTCTCATTAAAAAGAAAAATAAAGCTATCGTGGTAACTTCTATCATCACCATGGAATGTCTTGGGTTGGCATCTCTTCGTTTACCCCTTGCTAACATATCATACTAGTACATTTGTTTACAGGCATAAATGCTCTGCATGCTACAAGCAATATAAGAAGAAAGAGCATCTTATTGAGCATATGAAAGTTTCATATCACTCGATTCATCAGCCTAGATGTGGGGTTTGTGGAAAGCACTGCAAATCATTTGAATCACTGAGGGAACATCTGCAGGGTGAGTTGGTTTTGTGTATTTTTTGTGGTAATATATCATAGCACTATCTCATTATATCCGGTCTTTTAGGTCCTCTTTCAAAATCAAATTGTTCAAAAATTTTCATAGAGCAAGGCTGTGGGCTTTGTTTGAGAGTACTTGATGGCCGCAGATCTCTCAATGAGCACCGTGACATTTGCTGCCTAACAGCACCCGTTCACCAAGTAAGTTGCTGGTGCTCTATGCATCATTTATGATAATTAATAAGGTTACTCGTTACTTGTGATAATTAATAAGGTTACTGGTTACTCTTTACTTGTAGTATATATTATTGGATTGAGATTGAAATTGAGCCATTTATTATGACATTATAAATGCCTTTCAAATTTTGGTTTGGACACTATCGTAGGGAACAAGTCTATTGCCAACTGATTTATCAGATTGTTATGATGAAGATCGTTCTGATCGAGTCCTTGGAGCAATAGCTATGGATTGTGTCATGGCTGGCGGTGGAAGTGATGGCACATTGGACCTTTGCGTTGGGGTGTGCCTTGTTGATGAAGAAGAGAAATTGATTTTCAATACTTTCGTACGACCACAAATACCAATCACAAATTACAGGTATGTGTCATTGCCTTATTCTTTAAAGAGAGTTTTAACGTTTAAGAACCAGCCTGATAGATCGCTTCCATTTGGAGTTTGGATCCTTGAATATTTTTCTTCCTTTTCATAATATCAGTGAAAAATTTGTTTCTTGTTCAAAAAGAACCTACTTATTGATGATCATATCCTGTTAACGTGTAGGCATGAAGTAACTGGGCTAACGGAAGAACATATGAGGTATGCCATGCCTTTGAAAGAAGTCCAAGAAAAAGTACTACGAATCTTGATAAATGGAGAGTCCATTGGGAGATTGAGATTAAATGGTGGTAGAGCTAGGCTTCTTGTCGGCCATGATTTGGAGCATGATTTAGATTGCTTGAGAATGAATTATCCTGATCATATGTTAAGGTGAGCTTTCACTAACTTGGGTTGTAATTATGTGTGTATTTCCTTCACTTTTATTGAAATTCATATGCATTTGAAGTGTTCTGATGAAATGAAATGCACAAAGATAACCACCCACTTCTACTGTTTGACAAGGCACATTTATTTATTATTTTTTTTTTCTGGTAATGTTTCCTGTCGTTGAGGAAAGAAAATGTGTTTTCTCTGAATTTTACATGGTATTCTTTTCTTTTCTTTTTATGTGTGTATTAGACTTAGACATACATCTTTTGCCTGACATATTTTATGCAGGGACACTGCAAGATATCATCCATTGATGAAGACGAATTTGGTTAGCCATTCCCTCAAGTACCTTACTCGAACATATTTGGGGTAAGATACTTTAGTTATGGTTCATATTGCTTTAAAGAATAATAGAGCAAATTTTTTTTTTCCTTTTCAATAGGAGCAAGTATTTTTATAAATAAAATGAGAAACATAAGAAAGGTCATTGTTCTCGAGAAAAAAGATACAAAATAGAGGACAAGGGATGTAGGATATCACCCAGCCAAAACCTAAACCTCAGGGGTACATAAAAAACAACCTCAATTAGGATTAATAGGAAAAGAAGAGTAATAATTTATAAAACTCTATGCAAATCACTCTGAGTGGAGGTAGTATGCCTTATGGTCTCCAAACGTTACCGTGAGCCCCAGACTAATCTTTGAAGTTTTTATTGTTCCTCGCAATCAAAAGAAGTCAAGTTAAAGCTGTTGTTGTAGGCTTGTAGGATTCCTCCAGTGAATTTTTGCTTTACTGTGAAACCATCAACCAGAGGGGGTCTAGGTGAGCAACGAGGGGATGTCTTGAGAACAACACCAATGAAATGATGGAGATCGCTCATGTGCTTTTTATCACATCTTACATGTTGGTTCTCAATGCTTATCAATCTGCTCTAATACCTTACGGGCTGCCTATATTTGTTACTAATAGGTATTATATTGGTCCAATGATTAAAGAATAACCGTTTTAAAATGATTGCGAAAACATGAGTTTGGTCATTTGCATAAAAGCCGTTGAGTCTTTTTATTCCTAGTGTTATAGAGTTAGCCTTAGAAGACTACTTGACATACATCGAGCACAAGGAAGCTTACATATTCACAAGAAGGAAAAAGTGTATGCAATAAATCATCGTAATGAATTCCTCGTTAAGTTATAGGCTGAATATAATTTTTAGTCACTAATGTTTGAGTGTTTTTTTTCAATTTAGTTTCTTCATTTTCAATTTATCGTTGGTGAATGCTAAAATTGACTGATGATGAACTTACATGACATAATACTTAGTAAATTTATAGAAATGAGGAGAAAAAAGGTCATCGAGAGAAGAAACTGAAATTCCTACTTATTTTTTAGAAGTTTGGGGGAGGAATTATAAATTTTTCTTGACTTTTTTCATCCTCTAAATTTTTATCGTATTATCTCATATATATAAGACAATTTTAATATTTACCATTGTGAAAGACTAATTGAAAAATGTTAAAACATAACGAACAAAATCGAAACTTTTTARCAATTGGAACTAAATTGAAAAATTAGTCTAAGGATTTAAACATATATTTAGCCTAATTTAGAATCAGCTAATAATAAAGTGAGGGAATGAACTTGAAATTAGTCTTCCGAAGGAAATGTGACTATATCAACGTTCTGCATCTTCCACATTGAAGAATCGAATTCATTTACCCATGAAGAATATGGTGTTTCACATAGTATTAAAAAATTGATCTATGTAGCATGAATAAAGTACAGAGAAGATGAAATATGTGAATATGTGATGATGTGGGTAGAAAATGAGAGAATGTTGTTGTGGTAGCTGGTAACACATTGGTATCTTATTTTTGCAGGTATGATATTCAGCAGGGTGTGCATGATCCGTATGAAAATTGTGTATCAGTGATGCGGTTGTACAAGAGAATGCGTAATCTTGATCATCATGGACAAGTTATGATACCAACGGTTGCTCCTCATGCTCAGTATGTTGCTCACAATCTTGATTCCCATAGTGTGAAAGATCTTGAGAAGATGACTCCAGATAAACTTTATGAGATGTCCAGGTCAAACTTTAAGTGTTGGTGTCTTGATTCACGGCGAGTAATGCAGACTTAGGAACTGATCGTTTTCATTTTCTGCCGGGGAAGGATAGAACCTCATTGCAGTGTTGGCAATTTGTATAGACAGGGTGATTTTACTGGGGAGAGATGAGATTGTTGGTTGAAACGTTCGATAACCTGTTTTTTTTTGTATGTATTCACCCTTCTACGACTTAAAATTATTCAAATGTACCTCTCAAGCCAAAGTGATGTTTGATTAAATGTTTTTCACCCACTGCCGAAGAAACTGTAACAGATTGGCGAAGCTCATGGTGGAGGAGAACATCGATGGTGTGTTGCGGACTTGCTGGAAGATGCATCTGAAGATGATCTAAAGATAACCAACAATGAAATTTATTTTAAATCTATAAAGAATTTGAAATCACTCGAAATCGTAGGCAAACAAACAATGCAATAATTTGTCAAGAAATGAAAAGAAAAAAAAAACAATGCAATATAATACCAAATTGAGTTACTACAATAGAACAAGATAAAAATATTATTAAACAGACGTATAACATTATGCAAATTTACCAATTCCATTGATCTGCCTCGACCAGCTTACAGGTGGCAAAGAAATTCAAGCTTCTTGGAAACTTCAAATAAATGAATTTGTGGTCGGTTCGGTAGTTTTAAGATTTTCGGTAATTTCAAAATCTAGACAAATTTCAAATGAATTTTGTTATTTATTATACCATGAAATAGAATTATTGAAATCCTACATAATTTCAAATCTTTAATTTTTTTATTTTATTTTCTTTTCGAGCGAATGTCCAACCAAAAAATTTAATTATATTCGTTCAAAACCATTCTCATTCTAAATCAGATGAAAGAATTTAGAATAATTTATTGGAGGATTTAAAAGTTATTTTCTATTTAGGGTTAGAGGGCTGAGTCATGTATCTAATTTCATTGATTCAATTGCTTGAACAAGGGTTTTCTACTTTGATTGTGTAATGCGAGGCGAACAATTTTGTGAGTTGAAAACTTGTGCGAGTTATGACTATGACTACGCGCCTTCGAAACTGACTTCGTGGGGATTCCAGCTCGCATATTTGATCAAGTAATTTAATTCCAGTGACTCTTCATTTATCAATCCGATGATTTAAGAAATCTGTTCGTGATCCAGTATTTTGTTTCTCTTGCAGAGGAAGAGGTTCTGTGGCTTAGAAATAGTCCCCAATGGTGGTCTCCGTCCAACCGCCGAGTCAACTGCAGGGGATGGCTGGTTTATGGGACAGTGTGTTGGAGCTTACGAAGTCGGCGCAGGACAAGAACTGCGATCCACTGCTCTGGGCGGTTCAGTTGAGCTCCAGCCTCAATTCTGCTGGCGTTTCCTTGCCGTCAATCGAGCTCGCCCAGCTCTTGGTCTCCCATATTTGTTGGGACAATCATGTGCCTATCATGTGGAAGTTCCTTGAGAAGGCAATGACTGCGAAAATCGTTCCTCCCCTGCTGGTTGTTGCTCTTCTTTCTACGAGGTCTCATTTCTTCTATCAATTTGATTACTACCGCTTCCCTCTTCAAGCTTCCTCGCTTCATCGAATTTTTGTTTAAATCTTATTCACGGGTGTGTTTGGACGTTGTGAATGCAGAATGTTTCATATTGGGGGCTTGTGAATTACGCTTTTTCCGGGGTAGTTCAACTTCAAAGTAATATTTTGAGTTCGCTTATTTTTCTCCTGTACACGTACGGTTAGACCATTGTGAACTTAAGTTATGGAGCATAAAGAAAAATGGAACTGAAGATAATACATATGCATTTCAACATTCATACGTCTCAATGCATCCATAGATTTCCTGCGTTGCTCTGTAATTGCCTTTCTGCTTGCATGTCATCAATAATCTCGTTGTGCTGTAGTTATCTACTGTTTTTGATAAGCTGTAGTTATCTACTGTTGATAGCAAGTTCAAGTCTGTATCGTATCGGTTGTCGTTTATCCAATAAATAAGTTTGCATAAAATACTGACGTGATTTTTGAAGATGTCTGCAACTTGTTAACATTTTATTTTTCTTCCTCATTTTTGCTTCTAACTTTGTTTCGCTTGTTTTTCTCGTCCACTATTCACTGTCCAAAGTTGACATATATGGCATTGTTTCTCTGATTTACTTCAGGGCAATTCCGTATAGAAAGCTCCGACCTGCAGCATACAGACTTTACCTGGAACTTCTCAGCCGACATGTCTTTTCATCAACATCGCAAATCAACGGACCCAATTATCAAAGGTATATTTGACTGTATTTTTATTCGTTTGCATAATAGTGGATAACCTCATTCTTTCTTTTACTCTATTCAATCATTTTTCTTTCTTAATGGTAAACCTAGAGGAAACCTTTTGCCTCGAGAGGCATTCGAGGGTATCCTCTGTCACTGCTTCTCCTTACTTCAGTGGCAGATTATTCAGCTAATAAAATTTACCCTTCTCTTTTGAGGTTCTTATTTTTCCTGTCTTCTTATTTGAGTAGATCTTGTCCTCTATTTTTTTTGTCAGCTATATTTTGCTTAATAAGAAACTAAATTCAATGAAAAAAATGATGTTTCAAAAAACTCTTCCAAGTGGCATAAAGAGTATTTAAGTTTGTAGTTATTAGAGGTCATAAAATTTATGACAAGAAAGAGCCACAAGAGTGAACTGGAAAGAAAAAAATCAAGAGACTTTCTTTGTTGTTGAAGATTATGCGGTTTCTTTCCAGCATAATTGGTAAAATAATATTCTAACAAGCTGCAATCAAAGGGCTTCCTCTACTTTCTTTGATGGATGACGATCAAGCACCGAGAGAGAAGATTGTTCATCTTGAGGGATAGAGTAACCCGTCAACTGAAGTTGAGGAGCATAAAATTTCAAGAATTCTGACTAAAACAAAAATTTAGGGATAAATGGCTTTGAGTTGCAGCGTCATTCTTGCACATAGTGCACCACCACAGAGAGGGATACTAGTTGGGGAGTCTATTTTGAGTCTTGTCATGAGTATTGATACCCTCATGAGCAAGCTCCCATTAAAAGAAAAGAACTTCACTTTCTTGAGATTTTAGAGCACTTTCTTGAGATTTTAGAGTGCCTGATCACCTTATAAAGGCCAGGGTTCTACAAGTTTCCTTTTTCGGTGATATCCTCAAACAAGGAAATGCCTGGTGAAAATTCCAGTAACAATCATCTCTGCAATTTTTTTTTTTGAAACAAGAAACAAACTTTTCATTAAGGTATATGAAACGAAGTAGAAGTGTTCAAAGATACAAATTTCTGAAGGAATGAAAAAGTAGATGCTGTAAAGTAAAATTAAACAAAGTAAGACATCAATTAAGGTACTAAGAAGCGCTCCCAAGAGGAATAAATTGTAGAAATTGAGTAATCCTTGAATAACAGTGAAAGCGAGCACCAATGAGAATCCTTAAACTTGGCTTGATCTTTTTAATCATCTTCCTTTATGAAAGTTATGATTCCTTAAAAAAAATTCTTAATTACCCTCTGAACAATAATGGAAGAGTATTTCAACTTTATCGTGCCATGATGTTTCATCATCTGCCGACCAAATTTTTATTTTATTCAACTGGAGGAAAAGGCCTGATGAATTATTTTATGCCATTTCAGGATCATGCAAACCATCGATGATGTCCTTCATTTGTCCCAGATATTCAGTCTCCAAGCATGTGAACCTGGGCTACTTATGGTTGAATTATTCTTTTCAATTGTGTGGCAGTTACTTGATGCATCATTGGATGATGAAGGATTGCTGGTACTTCCTGCAGAAGAGAGATCAGCCTGGTTAATCAGGCCACAACCACATGATATGGAACTAGATGTTCATGATTCTTTCAGTGAGAAGAGAACTGAGAACAGTGAAAGTTTGCTTAAAGTAAACACGGCAAAGGCTATCGAGATAATTGGACAGTTTCTGCAAAATAAAAAAACTGCAAGGATTTTGTACTTGGCCCATCGAAATATGTAAGAAGTATAATTCTTGCTAACCTCTTTTACTCTCTACCCCTGTATTCTTTAGTTTCTGAAGGAAAGAAAAGCGTATTGATCTTTAGAAAGGCCATGCCTTCAGTTGTTGGAGTAACGTTTACTGATTCAGTGTAAAATGAATCCAAAATTTTGGAACAGTTCAATGAAAAATATGTAACATAATTATGCTATCTGGTTTTTAGGCCATTGCACTGGGCAGGTTTTGCTCAGCGGTTACAACTACTTGCAGCAAACTCAGCAGTTTTGAGGAACACAAAGCTAATAACTCCAGAGGTCCTTCTGCACTGGACATCTGATAAACATAGGCTTTTATCACGAGAAGGAAAAACATCTCAGCAGGAGTTTCGTAATGTAATGGCTTCTGGGTCACTATTTTCTTCCGCCGGTCAATCTCATGGTGTTAATTGGTCCACATTGTGGCTTCCCATTGATTTGTTCCTGGAAGATGCCATGGATGGATCACAAGTTCTGGCAACTAGTGCTGTTGAGCGTCTTATTTGTATGAGCTAAAAATTTTTATAGTTCTCTAGTGATTCTTGAATTAAATTGATAAGTTTCCACAAGAATTCTATTGATCCAGAGTTATCTACAGGTTTGATTAAATCTTTGCAGGCAGTTAATGATACCTCCTGGCACAACACTTTTATGGGTTTGTGGATTGCAGCCTTGCGACTTATTCAAAGGGTAGGATCAATTAGAATCTTGATAAATGTATCAAGTTTAGCTGTTCCCATCCTCTTTATGTTCAGATATTAATTTTTGTCTGAAATGATTTCACATTCACAATTTACTTAATTAGCTGGCCTGTTGTCTTTAGTTGAGAAAACTTTGATTTTTGTCCTATGATAATTGTATGGCAACTTTAATTAAGGGAGATGGATAAAAAAAGGAGCATTGTGTGGGTTTTTGGTTTTTTTTTTTTAAATAATTTTTTGGACTCTCTGGTCTAAAGATATTTGTAACTACTCTCTCTATGCTCTTAATCGGATAGAGATCTCTCTTATAACTCCTCAATCTTCTCTTTTCTAATGAAATGTTCCCTCTGTTTCTAATTAAAAAAGGGAAAAGAATATTTGAGTATTTATTTCCTCTAGGAAATGAGTTTTATCTTTATTTCATTTAGGAAACTAAAAAATTCATGTTTAATCTGCCTCCTGGGATCTAACTCATTCCAACCTACATATATATGCTAATTATTATCATTCTTTTTAGGAAAGGGATCCTAGTGAGGGTCCTGTACCTCGTTTGGATACATGCTTGTGCATGTTGTTGTCTATTACAACCCTAGCAGTCACCATTATAATTGAAGAAGATGAAGGTGAACTGAAGGAGGAGGATGAATGCAGCCCAAGTAAAGGCAGAGATGAGAAGAAGTGTTCAGGAAAGTGCCGCAAAGGTTTGATTACGAGCCTGCAGATGTTGGGTGAATATGAGGGCTTGTTGACTCCTCCTCAATCCGTTACTGCAATAGCCAATCAAGCTGCTGCAAAAGCAGTAATGTTCATATCAGGGGTTGCAGTTGGCAACGAGTACTATGACTGTGTTAGTATGAATGACACGCCAGTTAATTGTTGTAAGTACTTATTCTAATTTTAGCATTTAACATTGGTTATACGAATCCTGTAAAAAAATGGCCTATTAAGGATTTAAATTGGTGAAATATTAGCATTCTTTTGAAACTACTAAACATAGTTAAATGAGCTATTCTATATAAAAAAAGTTGTCTCCTCTGTGGAAAAAGATAATGTTAAATGGGCTAATGTATATTGATTCATCTGCAAATGCAAACTTTTAGATTGATGCTCGATTTCTCAAGAATTCTTGGGAATAGAATTCTGTTATAAAAATTTAATCTTCACAAAACGACATTATTGACTTCATGCTCAGATTGGTTTGATTCAGTAGTCAGCACTATTTCATCTGCAAGTTCAAAATTTTTTTTTGAAGTTCAATGTTTCAAGAATTCTTACTAATGCAATTCTGATAGATAATTTATGTACAACGAAATGCATGCTCAGAACTATTTGATAGACCTCCGATCATAAAGAAATAYGTTAGGAGGAATGGTAATAAGGGAAGGAAGAATATTTCTGTGGGCCCTAATTAGTTAGAAGACGTTTTGAGTAAGGAGAGAGTTTGTTATAGAGGTATGGGAGTTTGTTACAGAGAGAGTAAGGCTGTTATAGATATATATAGGTGTTGCTCTTGAAGAGGGGATCATCTTTTTGCTAGCTTGTATTTCCGTGTAAGGAATTGTGGGAGAGAATAGGGAGCTCTCAAATACTCCCTTGACCTGTAATTTTCCCTCTTGTACCTAAATAATAGAGCAGCCTCTATCACTATTTTATTCATTACTTGGAACTCCTGGTCTGCTATAAACAATTTAATCTTTCATAAAGGACAATTGAACGTATCCTGGACATTTTTATTCAGTGAACAAGTTAAAAAATTTTGGGGTACAGATTGACCTGATGTATTATACTGGTCTTTGTCATCATTTACATGCATCCTGAATTTTTACTTTTATTTTTTTACTGGCACTTCTGATCTTAGAACTCTCTTGCACACATTGTTACAATATTTTCATGCTTGCATACGTTTGTATTGGAAATTTATCATTTTGTGATTGGCTAATTTGTTGTTTTCTTGTTGCAGCTGGAAATATGCGTCATCTAATTGTTGAGGCTTGTATTTCTAGGAACCTTCTAGATACATCAGTATATTTTTGGCCAGGCTACGTGAATGCACGCAGCAGTCAAGTGCCTCGTAGTGCATCTGGTCAGGTTGTTGGTTGGTCATCATTCATGAAAGGATCCTCTCTAACTCTGTCAATGGTGGATGCTTTAGTGGCCACTCCAGCTTCTAGGTATGCTCTTACATGTATCTGTTTGTATCTTGTCATTATGCCATATTGACGGAAGATGTGAATAGGGTCTGTATTTTCTGTTTCCCAAAGATGTGTGAGCATTGTTACTTGTAAAGTTGTCATACTGGGACTATCATGTGGCAATGTTGTCCTTTCTCTGACGATTGCTTTTACATAGAAAACAGTGATGACTAATATTTTAATGCAATGGGGACTAAAATTAGAGGATACCACTTTTGCAACAAGGCCGCCTTTTAGATTCGTTGTGCATGACCCCTTGAAAATGTTGGGGTGGTGGTCATATAGACCTAGGTTTGTGAAGGTTGAGAGCAAAACTTTTAGGATAGGAGTCAACACTTCATCCAGGGGAAGCGAGGCGAAGGTAACATAAATAAGGAACAATTCTTACTCGATTTCTCTGGATGGGGAGACTTTGGTGTGTGCAAGAGCGAGGGATTTGACTGAGAACAAACCTGATTTTTCTAAATCGCAACGGATTTGATCACGTTGATTTGAGAGTGATATCAAACTCAACGAAGAGAGAAGAGCTAGGAGCTGTTCAGTTTCAACTTCTTTAAGACTTCTACGTGCTTCAATATTCCAAGAGAGAGTATCCTTATCCCAACAGTCAACAATAGAACGAAAAGGGAATTTAATAGCTCTGTATAAGTGAGCGAAATGGTCCTTGAGCTTTGAATTTTCGAGCCAAACATCCTGCCAAAAAAGAATATGAGTGCCACTGCCCACAATGAAGGAGCAATTATGTTGCACTTTACTCCAATGTTTGGGAATATTGAAGCTTGGTCTCTATTCTGGAATCACAAGGTTTCGCTTGTAGCATTTCACTATAGCTACTTAGAAAAATCCACCTGAGATCGTTTACTTGAAAGGACAATCCTTTCCTGAGAATATCTTATGTTTGGGATACTTGAATTCTTGATGTGAATCATGAATGTGCTAAAATCTGTTAGACAGGTTTCTATAAAAGTATTTTGTTACTCGGGAGTCGGTGCATAATATTTTTTTGAACAAGATGTGAAGTTCTTATTGATTAATGAAAATGGACAAAATATTTAAAGGATACAATCTCCTAGAGGGAGAGAAAGAAAACGGAAAAACAGAAAAAAAAGGGAAAAATAATAATAAAAAAGGAAAATACAACCCAATTGAACAAGAGCGACATAAAATCAACTTCAAGGAGCAATATCAGGTGAGAAGCATGGGAGAAACCAAAAAACTTCAAAAACAAATCTTGGAGCACCATAGGATTTCAAAATACTTGGACAGAGAAGAATCCGAAGGAGGAGAATCCTCCAAAGCAAACTTTAATTCATTCAATTCCTTCAAGTAATCTTTAAGTATCTGAATCCTCCTCTCAAGATAAGAAAGATAATAGACGTATTTTTCTTCATGAATGCTAGCTAACTCTTCATTTAGAAAGGTGATATAGTCATCCAAACGGGATGCGGTGCATAATATTAGAAGTTTTTACTCTCCCACTCCTCCCCCTCCCCTTGATGAGCTATTTTCTTTTGTGGCAAAACTAGCTTTCTTTGGGAAAATGATGTAATACAAAAGAGGATAGCCCATGACAGTAGCCTACTGGAACAAAAAAACAACTACTTAACTACAAGAGTTAAACACTGCAGGAAAAGGCTCCTTCAATTAACAAGGATGAGAGACAACTGAAAAGCATTAAAATCCTTATCAACAAAGCCCAAAGGAGGGAATTGAACCTAGCAAATGCCCAAACCTCTGTCAAGAGATCTCCACACCTCTAAATATTTTGTTTCATTTATCTTAATGAAAAGTTCTGTTTCCTATAAAAAAAGTATTTTTCTATTTCTTTCATGCCAAATCTTCCATTAGACTGAAAATAAGTGGCCTGCAAAGGAGCTGTCCCCTTTCCCCAGAAGGAGGGTGAAATAACAACTCATCTATTACAGACCAATATGATCTACTCTGAGCTAGCTGCATGCCAAAAGTATCCAAAAAACTGTCTCGTATAGCACCTGGAAAAATGAATTCCTTAAATATGCCCCAACTCCTCCAAGGCACCTTTACAGACTGCACTATGAAGCTGCAAAAGAAAAGAAGACGATCTCTGCAAATCATCCATGGTATTACTTGTATTGTGAGAAACTTGACAGGAAAAAATATTGGTTTCACAAAAGAGAGAAGGAGCTGCAAGAAAACTAGGAAAGTGAAACCACAAACAAACAACTTGTAACCTCTAGGTGAGGAGAGAGATTGGGCAGCAAAGAAAGCAACATAGAGACATTTGAAGACTCCCTATCATATAGAGGATGCCCAAAATCGAAATTGTATGAGAGGGAGTTCCTAGAAAAAAAAAGAATAGAATTCACATAAGCGAACTTCAAAAAGGATAAGTGGTAAAGATAAAGAAACATAAGAGGAAGGGGGTATCTTCTATCCAACAATCATCTTAAAAAGAGTTAAAGACCCACGTTGAGGAGAACCTCAAGAATATGCGCCCAAGAAGCAGTGTATTTCCACAGGTTTTATAATGTGCCTTTAACCCTTGGCTAGAAACCTAATTTTTGTTTCACTGGAACTCACACTTGGATCTTTGGAAGGAGAATTATAATGTCAAATATAGATTGTAATATAATTCTAATAGAAACTCATAAGAAACAATTTGACGAATAAAAATATATGGGAAATCAGTGTAATTCGTTTATGATTTTTTATCTACGACATAAGCCATGTACATCAGATGCCTTGTAATTTTACCCAGTGGTTTGACAATTAAATTTAACTTACACCCATGGATTTGACGGAAGCTTAGCAGAGATTGAGAAGATCTATGAGATTGCAGTCAATGGTTCAGGTGACGAGAAGATCTCTGCAGCTTCCATTTTGTGTGGGGAATCACTTGTTCGTGGTTGGAATCTACAGGTGAGTGCCAGTGGATGCCTATGATTTGTATGGCACGGTTGTGGTTTTTTTTCCTCCAATTTTTCTAAACGTAATTTTGCATCCTCATTCTCACCTTCTGGGATTATTTTAACCTATTTTCTTCTAGGAACACACCGTTCTATTTATTGCCAGATTATTATCGCCCCCAATTCCTGCAGATTACTCTGGCAGTGATAGCTATTTGATCGACTACGCCCCATTTCTGAATGTTCTACTGGTTGGAATATCATCAGTTGATTGTGTGCAGATTTTTTCCTTGCATGGCATGGTAAGAATGTTAGCTTGTCTGCATATGACCCTACTTATAAGCTTCTGAATCTGAAGTTATGTTTTTCTATAAGATTATTTGTGCAAGCTTAGGAGTGGTATTATATATGATCTTATGCCTAAGTATGAGAGCTGAATTGTTTCAGAGAAGTCTTGGAAGGATTGGATACCTGGATTTTGATAGGTGAGACTGAGGCCCATTGGCAGAGATCAAAATGACTACAGTTCATTATAAGAGCATTTAGATACTTATTTGATTAGAATTGTGTTCAATTATCTATAACCTTGTTGAATGATTCTGAAAATACTAGATTTTTGGCACACACAAGAGTTTTAAAGAGATGATTTAACAAAGCAATTGAGAAATTCTGGTTTTTATAGTGTTGTGAGCTTATATTTTTTGTTGGTTGATGCCAGGTTCCTCTGCTTGCAGGTCAATTAATGCCAATCTGCGAAGCTTTTGGATTAAGTCCGCCAAAGTCATGGGTCCTTACATCTGGGGAAGAGCTTACTTGTCATGCAGTATTCTCCTTGGCATTTACACTTCTGCTAAGGTTGTGGCGGTTTCATCACCCACCTGTTGAAAATGTGAAGAGAGATGCACGACCTGTGGGATCTCAACTAACTCCTGAATATCTGCTATTGGTTCGAAATTCTCAGTTGGCATCTTTTGGAAAGTCGCCCAAGGATAGATTTAAAGTCAGACGGCTGTCAAAACTTTTGAAATTTTCTTTAGAACCTATATTCATGGATTCATTTCCAAAATTGAAGGGCTGGTACCGGCAACATCAAGAATGCATTGCTTCCATTCTCTCTGGT